AATACACAGATATATACTTTTTTACATACCGATTTGATTTCATCGACTAAAAATTAAATGAAAATTCTAAATGAGTAAGGAAATTGGAACGCATAACCCATTTGAATTTTTAATTTGAATTTTTAAATTGAAAAAAAAAATTTATTAATAAATAAAAGAAAACATTTCTATTGATCGAACTTCTAATGCATTTTATTTGAGTAAGCGCGTAGTTATATAGTGTTTCTATCATCTATTTATATTAAGCTTTTATTTGATTCTTGAATTCTTTTTATAATCCGTTTCCAGTTCTAAATATCCTTTGAATTTTAGTTTGAAGAACAGAAAAATATTTAACATTCATTACTTTTATTTATGTTATAATAACATATATTGCTTCTGTCATTCACTTACTTATACATACATAGTCAAACGTTTTATATAATAGTTATTATCACTTATATATTGATTACATTAGCATAACATAGCATTGATTTATTGTCCGGTTGCGTAAGCTGGGTCGTAGTGTCAATATAAAAAAATATAAAAAATAAAAATAAAATAAAAAAAGGGTCAGAGATATTTGAATTGTCGTTGTTGTAGTGAAGTGTGCATGGAGGAAAGAGAAAGCGAAGAAGTAGTGGTGCGTGGACTAGGCCTTTTTGATTCGAACCGTAGGGTTACTAGGAGTACTAAAAGGGCGTTGGACAACCAAATCGTGGGCTCTATCTTCGCGCAAATTGATACGGGCATACCACGGTCAGTAGATTTTGTCCTCACCGATTTCCTAAATAGGTGTACCGCACGAGTGTTCGGGACGCAGGGGCAAAACATACCAAAAGTACGCGTCACTGACGAATTGGCATTGAACGCAACTGACAATAGTCTGAGTTTTTCGCGCAAAATCGAAGAAATTTTAGACATGTCCGATCGGGAAGAAAACGCTGGGGCAAATGTGCCGCCCAGTGATGTGGTAGCGGGGCTGCGGGAGCTGCAGGTGGTGCACCGAGTTCATCAGCGACCAGCGTCGAACAACTGAGCCGTATGATGGCAATGCTGGCACAACAAGGAGATATGCTGACGCAATGTATGAATGAGGTGCGCCACATGCGTGCAAACGTAGCTAACCTCAGCAATCGCATGACTGAAGTGGAAACATCAGCTCAAGCAGGCCCTAACCGACCGGCCATGGCTTCCACTCCGGAGGCAAGCAATGTGAGGCCGACTGAGGCGGAGCGGCACAATAGCACGGACGGAGCGCGCGGGGAAGGTTCGTCACATGCATATGATTCTAGACGTTGGAAGAAATTGGATCTCGAAAAGTGGCACATCAAATTTTATGGTTCTGGCAAGGGCATGAGCGTTGAAAGCTTCATATTTCGCGTAGAGAAAATGCGTGAGCAGTATGAAATCTCATATTATCAACTGTTCACGGATTTTCACTGTCTGATGACCGGCGGTGCCTTGAAGTGGTATTGGCAGGTCCTGGAAGACCATGCAGAAAACCCAGACTTTGGTTATTTCGAACTGAAGGCAGAATTGCTGTGCCACTTCAAGACCGCTGAGACGGACTATGAAATAATACGCGAAATAATGGAGCGAAAGCAACTGCCTCAGGAAAGCTTCGACGACTTTTACGGAGAAATCCATAACTTGACCTTTCGCCTTCGTAAGCGAATCCCTGAAAAGGAACTTGATAGCATAGTGAGAGGCAACCTCAAACCTTACCTGGCTAATCTAACATTTGCATCCAAGATAGAAACATTAGCGGAACTAAAGGCTGAATGTAAGAGGGCAGCAGAAATGATAGGAGACAGAGTAGAGGCAATAGAAAAGAGTCCATATAGAAAACCCCAACAGTCTGTTTCTGTGCAACCCAAAAGTAATGTATCCCCGTCCGATTGTAGTATTCTGTCCAATTCCACTGTTAAGTCGTTCTGTTCGTCCCCATTCCACTTGATGTTGTGTTTTTCTTGTGGCATGCCGGTGGATCACTTTGTGAAAAACCCGGCAGAAGCTCACAAGGATACTAAGTGTAAGTCCTCGTTTCATAACATGGTCTGTTTTGCATGTGGAGGTGACTCGTCGTTCTGTGTTTATAAGCCAGATAAGGGAAACTCCAGGCTGGCAGAGATTTCCGGGGCCTCTTGCCAGGAGATGGGCAGCCCGGAAGTAAAGCTGTAGAAATACTAAAGAAGGAAAAATTAGAAGTAGTAAGAGAGAGAAAAGAAGAAGTAGTCAAACAGGTAAAAAGTTTACATCAACGTAAGATTGAATACGAGGATGCGCGTAGGAGAATATTCGGTGAAGAAGTAGTAAGTAAGAAGAATACTAGGAATTTCATGCAGATTAAAAGAATGAGAGAAAAACAAAAAAATTTTAAAAGGATTTACAATAAGATAGTAGCAACAATAGTTACTTTAAAAGGCGATAATAGGTTTTTTGCCAAAACAAGAATTGGGGGTCATGAGGTGTTAGCGTTGCTAGATTCGGGTGCAGGTGCAAGTTGCCTAGGAAAAAATGCGAGTACGCTGTTGCGTGTCAACGAATCTCTAATAATGCCAATTAAGGGCCAAAATGTTAAAACGGCAAACGGTGGTGAGACGGAGGTTACAGGGGTGATAACATTGCCAGTCGTGTGGGACAACAGCACAAGAGAGTTAGAGTTTCTGATAGTCCCAGGCCTTCAACAGGAATTGTATTTAGGTGTGGACTTCTGGCAGGTTTGGTTTGAGTGTTGTCAGTAGAGGAGTGAGTGCGAATGTGAGTGGTGCGGGCGTAGCAGAACTCGTACCTGCCGAAGGTGATCTTTCTTTTGACGCGGTGCAACACGAACTGACCAGTGAGCAAACCTTAGCTTTATAGCATGTAAAAGCTCAATTCCCCTCTTTTGCAGTGTTAGGGTTAGGCAAAACGGAGGTGGAGGAACATGTGATCGAGGTCTCCGAAGAAAACTTACCGGTCAAACAGCGATGGTATCCCATATCTCCAGCGATCCAGAAACTTATATACGGCGAACTCGATAGGATGCTGGAGAGGAGTTATTGAAGAGAGTAACAGCAGTTGGAGTTCGCCGGTATCATTAGTTGTTAAAGGGACTAAAAATTTCTTATGCCTGGATGCCCGAAAAGTTAATGCGCGTACGATAAAAGATGCGTACTCGCTTCCACATATAGACGGAATTTTGAGCCGATAACAAAACACACGATATATATCCGCGATTGACCTTGAGGACGCGTTTTGGCAAATCCCGCTAGAGAGAAAATCCAGAAAGAAAACGGCGTTCACCGTACCTGGTAGGCCCCTTTACCATTTCACGGTAATGCCATTCGGGTTGTGCAACGCGGCACAAGGTTATACCCGCTTCGTTACGTGAATCAGAGTTTTTGTGTATTTAGATGATTTGCTTGTGTGTTCAGTTGATTTTTCGTCTCATTTGTGTCTCCTGGAAAAGGTCGCTAAGTGTCTTCGTGATGCAAAACTGACGATAAACGTGGAGAAGAGTAAATTCTGCTTTAAAGAAGTTAGGTACCTGGGCTATGTAGTAGCAATGGGTGTATTCGCACCGACGCCAATAACATGGCAGCCGTGAGAGACTTCCCCGAACCGAGAACCCCAAAGCAACTCCGGCGGTTCCTAGGGATGGCAGGCTGGTATCGTAGATTCATCCAGGACTACGCGACAATTGCATCACCGCTGCATGACTGCCTCTCCAAAGAAAAAATTAAGAAATTTACGATTACTGATGACGCTAAAAGAGCATTTGAGTGTTTGAAGAGCAGCCTCATATCGGCTCCCGTACTGACGCACCCAGACTTTACCCGACGATTCTATATTCAGTGTGACGCATCGACTGACGGAGTGGGAGGTGTGCTGTTTCAACTAGACGATGACTGAAACGAACGGCCAATCGCGTACATTTCAGCCAAACTAAACAAGGCACAGCGCAATTATAGCATCACAGAGCTAGAGTGCTACGCCGCAGTCATCAGTATAAAGCGATTCAGGCCATATGTCGAAGGACTACCCTTCACAGTAATCGCAGATCATGCGAGCCTCAAGTGGTTAATGAACCAGAAGGACCTATCTGGCCGGCTCGCAAGATGGAGTCTGAAGTTACAAGGGTATGACTTCGACATAGAACATCGCAAAGGATCACAGAATGTAGTGCCAGATACGCTGTCGCGCATGGACATGGACGAGATAGACGTAAACAGCTGACTATCGGACGTATGGATGGATTCACCGTATTTTAAGTCAGAGGAATATGAGGAACTAAAGAAGACAGTGACTGATAATCAGGACAGAGTACCAGAACTTTGTGTTTCCGACGGCTACGTATACAGACGAACGCAATTTAATAGGGGGGACGGCCTTCAAGAAGACCAGACCTGGAAACTCTGGGTACCGACAGAGCTTCGGAGGGGTTTGTTGGAAGCGTCCCACGGTTCGCCATCTGCTGGACATTGTGGCATACATAAAACCCTCGCACGAATCCGCCAAAAATACTACTGGCCCGGTATGGTCACAGATGTCCAAGATTATGTCAAGGAATGTGAAATCTGTAAAGGCTGCAAAACGCAAAATTACTTCTATAGGCCACCAATTGTAAAACAACATCTGACAGAGCGACCTTTTCAACGTTTGTTTGTAGATTTTATGAGTCCGTATCCTCGTACGTCTGAGGGTAATGCCTTTGTGTTTGTATGTCTTGATCATTTCTCAAAATTTGTCTTCTTAAAACCGATGCGAAAAGCTACTTCAGCTGACGTCATTAAATTTCTAGAGAAAGAAGTTTTCCACGTATTCGGGGGACTAAACACATACGAACTGCTTTTTATTCACCACGGGCAAATGCCGCGGAAAGGGTGAATAGGTCGGTGTTGCAGATTATACGATCGTATGTCAAAGAGAATCAGCGAAACTGGGACAAGCACATCAGTGACGCCGCGTTCGCCCTCCGCAGTGTGACACATGCTGCCATAGATAGTTCCCCATATTTCGCCGCGTTTGGTATCCCAATGATACAGCATGCTGCATCCTATGGGCTATACCGGAAACTTGGCACATTAAAAGATCTTGACTGTGAGGTATTACCTATGAGTGATAAGATGCAAGTGATAAGTGATAAAATTATGACGGAGCTGAAGCTAGCACATAATAGAAGCGCAAAGTTATATAATACAAAGGCTAGAGAAGTGCAGTTTAAAATCGGACAAGTGGTATACCGCCGAAACTTTAAGCAAAGCTCTCAAGTTGATAGTTACAATGCGAAATTAGCCCCCAAGCAGGTTAAATGTGTTGTTTTGAAAGCGATCGGTAATTCAATGTACGAGCTTGGGGACATGAATGGGAAAAGGATCGGGGTATACCATGCTAAGGATATGTTCGTAGGATAATGTCATTGCGTTAGTATGTATATATGTTTTATGTTGCATGTTAATTGTTACTGACAATCATTATTTGTATCAATGTTAGCTTTTGTCTATAAACCAATATTAACCCAGTGATTTTAGTTACCTGACCATTAGCTATTAATATTTATTTTATAACTTGACCTTATGGTGATTATTCGTATATTTAATTATTAGTGTGATTATATTTTTTTTTTATTTATACATTACCATTCTGTGATATTTATTTATAAATCGGTTCATTTAGGTATTTATTTATTTATTTATCTTTTTACATTTATTTACATACTTATTTGCTTGACTATCTACCTATGAATCTGTGATATAGATATAAGTAAGATGCAGTACATATGTATGTATATATGTAGATGTAGTACGTGCCCCGTGATGTAGCTCTTAGATACATTTGCACACCCACACTCACCCAGTGATAAACATGGAGTTAAAGGGCTAGAAAGTGGTAGAAGCCCGGCTTAAGGGCGTGGATCGAAGCCACACGTTAGGCGCAGGGGCAAAAGGGGCAAAGGCTGCGTTAGAAAACTTTTTTACGTACACGCCCCATGATGCAGGCACCATCGGCGGGTACGAGCCTGTAACAAACGCCTTTGCGCACTATGAAAGTGTATGTATACATGTTGCGGAAACAAAATCCTTTTTCTGACCAAANCCAGGACGAAAAGGGTAAAAGGACTTCCTCCTGGGTGGTGCCAAGCCGTACCCACTACTTTTTATTTGCCGGAGTTGCGTCGAGTTGAGCGTAGCCACCCACACACACACACAGCGCACCAGGATCAGCGACATCAACTTGTCCTGCAAAAGCACTCACACAAGCATGCTAGGCGTGCAACATCGACGTTCAACACCGGCGAACTGATCGAGTAGCACCAACCCCGTACATAATTACAACCCAACGACCAACAGCTGTTTCATTTATATAAGCCCACGGAGGGTCAACGCTCGCCTTCACATAGGGAGATACGCAAAAGTACATGCACACAACTGAGGGACCTACATATGTATGCGAAGATATAAGCATACATAGCTGAATCTCGCGGAGCGGGAGTGCGGACTGCACTGGAAGATTAATATTTTTGGAAAGAACTGTCATCAGCGAGGGAGAGAGCCATAAGCAGCAAGAACGAGGGCAGCATAAGGGAACAGGCGATAAGCCCAACGAGACTTGACGTCGACTGCGTCAACGCCGCCGTCCAGCACCAGCGCCGTCTGGAGCTAGGGGGGATTTTTGCCCCACGAGTTTTTTTTTTGCATACATATTTAGTTACTGAGTTATCGTAGTTTTCTTTGTAAGTTTATAAAGTTGATTTCGAAAGTAGGTATGTGCTGATGGTACTCACCTCGAATTTCGGTTGCGCTAGTAGGTCTTTTTGTATTAATTTAACAATCAATTTTGGGATCTTTTATCTTCCTTTTTTTGCCGATGCCAGGTATTGTTTTGTTGTAGCTTTCCAGATTTTTCTTTTCTTGGTACCTTTTTTTTAATTCAGTTGTTGACTTTTGACTTTATAATTTTTTGTTGTTTCGAGTAATCCCATCGGGGAAACGATTTAATTTTCCTTTTTTTTTATTTTCACTGGATAAATTTAATTAACTTTAATTAACTTCTTAATTTCACACACTAGTTTTTTTCCATTCAGTTCGAGTCTTGCGTAAAAGTAGTGAAGGTGACCCGCTCGATGCCCGCTAACTCGAGCGAGTGATTGAGCTGCCAATCAGGGAAATCCTCAGAACTAGTATTGTAGGCAAGCTTATGAATGTATGTATTTGTCGTAAAATCCTCTCCTTCCACACAGGTTCTCATCGGCATGCTGGTACCAACATCGCTGGAGTGACCAGGTGAGTGATAATTAAAATTTCCTTTTAGGCCACTATACGTTATATGTACATCTCTTGAGCACTTAAGTCCTAACGCGTCTCTTAGGTTTTATTCATTCTTGCATTTCCATATATTTATATATATATACATATTTGCATATGTAGGTATGTTCATACATATATGCGGTTGAATTGAGCTGCACTTGCAGAAATATATATATATATATATATATATATATATATATGTAGATACATACATAAATATATTCAAATACCTTCATTTGAAGTTGGATACATTAGTGTTTAAATTTAATTAGAGAGGTTTAAATTTAGTTTTCTTGTACTAAAAATAAGTATTTTGGTGAAATATAAAAAAAGAGAGGAATATGAAAATTGTATATTTAATTGGTTGAAACATAGTAGGAAAATTTCGAGATGAGGTGCTAGATTCTCCTTTGTTTGGTGTGGGTGTTGCGCTTGAGCAATAGAGGGGACGTGGGAGTGTTGACAAAATGAATTTACGGACTTGACGATGACTGACTGATAGACGTACGGACATATGTCAGGACAAGGGGGCGTTGCTAAGTGGATAGGAGTCGCAGCAACGCCCAAGGCTACATGTGGTGTACATGTAGAAGGGGAGGGACGACTCCACCTGACCGGACTGGCTCTTTTCCTCTTATTTAGTTTCGTTTTCTCTATCCTTTAGTTCTCCTGCTTTCATATCTGTCCCCTATATTCACAATTTTTGTTACATATGTACATAGGCATGAGTCAACTTTTTTTGTCAGTGTAGCTAGAGGCAAGGTAGGTAGGAAAGACCCCCCCATCCGACGAGCTAGCTACGGCCCGCAAGCATGCCCGCACGCTGCCTCGCCTTGCCCAAGTGCGCAGCTACATTACATGGTGCGAAATTTCATGTTCCTAGCTGCATAAATGGAGGAGTTATGAAAAAAGACCTCATATCTGAACAATCAGTTGTATGGGGGCTGCAGGTTATAGTTACCGGGATCTTTGTTATTTTCACTGTAAGTCTTTTGTTGATAATGAGTGAAAACTGCGCGCAATTTCATTGTTCTAGCTACATAAATGGATGAATTATAACGAAAAATCTCATAGCTGAACAATCAGTTGTATGGGAGCTATAGGTTATAGTGGTCCGATTATTCCGGTTCCGACAAATGATTAATACATTATAAAAATACACCCACCTACCAAATTTGATCCGGATATCTCGAAAACCGAGAGACTAGATTGCATACAAACAGACGGACAGACGCACAGACGGACATGGCTAAATCAACTCAGCTCGACGTTCTGATCATATAAGTATACATTTTAATGGGTCTATCTCTTTTTGTTCTGGTACTTACAAACATCGGACCAAAGTAATAATACCATTTCATGCTCATGAAAGGTATAAATATAATAGAGGTATATTTTTTCGACTCAGCACAATCCTAGGGGGTGGCGGCATTAAAATACCGACTTTATAGTTTTTGGATCACTCTAATGTTATGTACATTTCCCGAAAATTTTTTATTTGTAAAGCCTCTGAAGAAAAACTAAAATACATATAAAATTACGCACAATAAATGGAACAGAAATTCCCTTCTATAAAAATGTGAAATGTGTGTGAAATGTCTTAAATCAATATGCAGCTCTTAAGAAAAAATGCTCGTACATATCGTCGCTACCATTATAGTGTGCCCAACCCACATTTAGCACATGCGGTTCATATTGCTGAGTCGGCGTGTTTGTTCTGACCTTCCTGTGTGACTGGTCACTCATAAAAATAAGAATTTAGATTGTAAGCATATAAAAGACGGCGTTGAGCCGAAATAAAATCATTCTTGTCATAAGATTCAATTCAAGAATTTTATTTCGAGGATCAAAGATCGTGCATCTTAATGCATGCATAAAAGCGGCTCGAGAGCTAAGTAAATACTTAAACTCAGGTTTAAACAGTTTAGTTTACCAACACATCACATGGCGATCCTGCCTTTACGAACATAGTGATAAAGGATCACATCACAGCTTAACTTTAGAAACAAAACCAATTGGAACAGGAAGGATATACACCTGAAGTATCCACAGAGACATACCCGGTTTACATACCTGAATCGAAGGCAGTTGGACCAAAACCGATAACTTTATAGCAGTACAGACAGATACAGCAAAAGTAGAGCCAAAATACTCAGAACTTCAGGCAGACCTTCTAATATAGACCCAAAAAGCGTCACGAAAAAAAGTGTTCTGAACTGCAGAGAATAATAAATATCAGTCAGGGTCAGCAAAAGCGAGACTTCATCGCAGAATTGAAACAACTGCGCCGAGATGGGTGGAACCCAAACAAAGAGGTGATCAATAACACCAGCAGGGGCAGCAGTATTAATCGAAAATAATGTCGGAAAAAATTTAGTTTACATCAATTTTATAATATTAGTAATTAGTAATGCAAGATAAATGCAGATTATAAGAAATATCTGAAAAAATAAGCATACGGTAATGTAAATGCGGCTTAATATATTTTTATAAATAGTAGGAGGAGATAGATGAAATTTTACGTATTAGAAGAATTATGAAATAAATTAAAAAAGAGTCCGACCAGGATATATACACAAGCATATGTAGACAAAACTCGAGAACTGATAGCCAATAGTTGGAAGAATATTGAGCAGACTGCGCACTCCACAGACTTGCCACTGCTAAACAATAAATTTAAAGAATTAAAAGAAAAATTGAGAAATATTTAGTTGTAAAAAAAGATAAAACAACGAAACTAAAAACAGACACAATGGCGACTTTTGACTTAGTAACAGCAACCAAAGTGATCCCGAAAATCAAAGGGGATTATAAAGAACTTAACAATTTCTTAGGGCTTATAGAATTTTACCATGACACTCTTGCAAATCAGGAAGAATGTCTATTTTAATTAAATTCATACTAGCAACAAAATTATCAGAAAAGGTCTAAAATAAAATTTTAACACAAGCAACACATGACAGTTTTGAAACGGTAAAAATAGTACTGAAGGAAGCATTTAGATCAAATAAAACAGCTTCTTGGGTACATGCAGACCCTGCAACCCTGATCCGGGAGGGATGCGGTGGGGGACGTCGATCCCCGAGACGAATGTCTCTTAAATCCTA